TTCAGTTGAAAATTGTAATAATAATAGTCTTTATTGAAGTCGTATCCCAAAAATGGACATAGATCTAAGTACAATAAAGCATGGTTGTCATTCCATGTTAGAACTTGAACATTCAGATAATTACATACTAACTGAAGTGAATCTTACAGTATCACTAATTCACTTTTGGAAATAATTGAAACAATTGTTAATTTAAAAAAAAAAAGCACATGCTTGGATATCTAAATGCCACGTGTATTCAAGATATTTCATTTTGATTATAATTTTAGACCAATGATCTATATAAATTGAAGAGAACAAAAAGAAGCTGAAAAATATACGTACTGAGAAAGATATACAACAAAAATAAATACAAGATTTCTGTAAATGAAAAAGTGTTCACATGGTGTTGGAAACAGTATTATATCTATTGTTATGGACAATATATGACACTGCACAAGAACACAATATTTTGTAGGAATTCATCATTCGTACATCGTGAAAAATCATCCAATTGGTGAAAAAACAAACGATCAAATGTATTATTTTCTAGAGGGCGCACATCACTCGAATTACCCCGGTAGACAAGCCTCTGAAGCGTAATGCAAAATTGCTTCCCTTTACAATCGGGTTCAGCCGAATGGAAAATATAATAGTTTATGTATGGTCGTGTATAGCCAGATAAACACATACATGTGTACGAAAGCTAGGCTTCCCGGAAAAAGCTTGCAACTGAACACGGCTTCGTCGACCCAGCCCTCAACCAGTCATGGCGGGTGCACAAGGTGATGGAAATACGTAATACGGCAGTAGTATTTCATTGCTGTGACCAATTTAGCCAAATCAATACTTTACCGAATTTACTTGCATAAAATAATAAGATAATACATTCTTGTTTATTTCATATATTACAAATTATTAAACCAATTTGAACGTAAGTAAAATCTAGAGGTAAAATCTATTAAATACAAATATCTTCTGAGTTAGGGGGCCTTAATAGGCAGCTATGTTTTGCTGTGTTTTGTTGCGTGGTAGCGAACTCATTAGCATTTGATGTCAGTAAGAAGGACCTCACACATGCCCTTGTTTATGGTGTATATTTGAAGCGATCTTGGAATTACGACGGTCACCGACAGAGGAGAAACAAAAGTAGACATCGGGGGTTAAAAATACTGTGAGATCGTCCAGCAGGGACAGTAACTTTTACCGAAAGATTGGTAAGCGTTGCTAGTGAGGTGAGGTTACCACCGTGTCAAATGATACTATGATGGACCTCGGCGACTGTTTCTTTTGTCGTATCACTGTTTTTAAGGCCTGTGATACAGTATTGGCGTATGTATGCCATGGTGATGAAGAAGTCACAGTTGAACGTTGTTTATCAACTCATCTTGAACGATATTTCAAATTATTAATAACCTGAACACTCGAACTGTAATATTATTACAGTGTAACATTCTCATCGCATTGTATTGTATATGTAGTACATTTCGTGAGTCGTATTCTATTCTCATATACCAGTGCCGATTGTAATTGATAATTAAGCAATATATCGATATATCATTGTTATATAATAATCAATAATGAATTAATCAATTAATAATGTACAAATTAGAAAAAATATAAATTTGTAAAATTCACAGATTTGCATGGGTTACTCATCACAATATTATATTTTTATAGATATTCAAAAGTACATACCAATTTGAAGAAAGATGCCACCGGTAGGCTCGGTATCCATTCCAACTATTTCACCATTAAAACTGCCAGAGGCGGGAAAACCACTGAATCATATTGATACAAATACAAATGTAGAAATAAAATCAGGTAAGCCTCACATACCATCACAACTCTACTATGATGCAAAGGGACATGCATATCAAATATTAGATGATTAACAACACAATAATGTCACTGAGACAGTTCTAATGCAATGTCTATGTTATATTTTTGAATCTGGCTATTTATTTCCACACTGTTATACATTTTCTATTGTCCACTAAAAATGAAAAGTACCTGTACATATGTAATATTTTATTGTTTCATTTCATCAGCTACCCCAGGGTCATCAATATTTTTTACAACAAATGGAACGCGTCCAGATCCCTTTTCCAAACCGGGGAGCAAAGGAGGAACAATCCGCTACAAAGGGCCATTTCAACTGAATGATGGTCGACGCATCGTGAAAGCGGTGGCCTTGTCAAGGTTCAGTTTATTCCTTGTCTATACAATTGCATTATGCATTATTCCTGTTACGCATATAAAGAAGAAAAAAACAATAAATAACATTCTGTTTAATATCCTCAAACTAATATACTTTTGAATAACTCAAATAAATGTGCCTTTGATTTGCAAAAGTACCATCTCATTATTTTCTGGATGAATATTATATCAAATGTAAAATCTAACCTCCATATGAAGACCACCTGTCGATAAAGACCATTTTAATGAAGTTTTTTGGGTGTATAGCACAATTTCTCTAGGGCTTTTTTCAAATAAATAAATTTTCCTGAGATTCACAACAAATAACACAATTTGGGTTGAAAATGTCTTCATTGTCTGTACACATTCCTTTTTGACGCACTGTAGTGCAATATCTGATGACGTCAGTTTTACTTTTCGTAAGATCCCATCATCGTTGCAAATACTATTACAATGGACAGTAATTTGTTCGACCGGTATAATTATAGAAAACTGTAGTAATATGTGTGTTATTAAATGAAAACATAATGTCTGTTTTTAGGGATGGTCAGAATGAGAGTAAGGTTGTGAGTAAAGCTTTCCTGGTGGAATATGCACCTCCTTCAGATGATGAAATTATAGACGATGAACAAACATTCCAAATGGATACAAGGAGATCAACAGTAAGTTAATTATTATATAAAATATAAATACAGACAGATGAACGGTCAGCCAGACAGCCTAGGCCTATATTAGTCTCAACTACCAGACATATTCACTATAAACTTGTTCTAACTCAACTTGTCATTTTTTAAAACTGTCAAGTTCTTGCCCTTTACTGTACATTTTATTCATTATAATATTTTTTTTTACAGTTCCGTGGCACATCAGCCAGAGATGTTGGTATGATGTCACAAAGTTTCAATCCAGGCTATTCAAATAATTACTATAACGAATACTCAGCGCCCCCACAGGGTAGAACTCAGGTACCGGTAATATTAATTGTTTATTTTATTTTATTTCTTTTATTGTTGTTTACTATCAAGTACTGTCTTTGCACAATTTGGAAAGGAAGCTCTAGTATAAATATACATAATCCAATGTACTGTGAAATACTTTATTTTAGCTGGAATTAATTTTCGCTGAAAAGACTTTTTAGGTGTTTTGTATGGAATTTATTTTCGGTGATTTCTGACGAGTTGAATGTAAAATATAGGAAAAAAGGTATATTTGCTGGATTTTATTTTCACTGAATCATTCCTTCAGCAAATAGTGAAAATTAATTCAAAGCAAAATTAAAGTATTTTACAGTATTCAATGTATAACTGATCATTGAAATGTGACTGATTTTTGTCATAAACACATGTGCTACTATTACAGTATATAAAGAGCGTATTTTATACCATTCACTGCAGCAGCCCAATATCATTGGTCGATCAGTACCACATGCTGTCCAATTATTTAATGATACACATACCACATGTTTGATTTCTTTCTTTTAAGCGAACCACAGCATGTTTTCAGCATTTCAGTATTATAATTGAAATAAAGCACAACTCATTATTACTTGTGACACAGTAACTAGGCTTGAATGCAGATGTTTTGCTTGACAATGTCTCGCCCATTATTGTGCACACTCATGTCCATGCCCTGTTATCATGCAGTAATGGGAAGAGTATCATCCTTATTACACTTCTATTGCAGATGCTCTTGTAATAGAGTAAATACGGTACTATAAATACCTACACATTGAATGCTAATGTTAACCAATCCCACTTTAGTTACACCCTTGTTATGCAAGTACTGTAAAATGATTAATTTTCACCAGGTTTAAATTTCGCTGATTTAACATTTCATGCATATTTAGTGGGTTTTAAATTCACAGTTTTATCATTTAGATAATGTGTTCTATACTAAATTTGACATATTCACTGGGTTTTAACTAAGCACATTTTCCAGTCAGCGAAATAAGCAAAATTAAAACCCAGTGAATAATTTATCTTTTTGCAGTACTTCACTTTCAAATCATGACATCACAGAGATATTACAAAATGTGTAGTTCTGATTTGTTCACATTTTCTGTGATTTTCTTGGCAACATTTTGTCAAAATGCTAATAACAAAAATTGGCAACCAGGTAATTTTTTAAACAAGCATTGATACGACTTACGTGTGAATCATAGTTCAATTTTGAACTGGTTGCCCTTAACCCCTGTTACCGGTACCTTAATGATTTACGATTTATCTCAAGTATAATGTAGTATTTTTCCTCTGCCCTCCTCTTCGAACACTAACAGACAGCATTTATATCTAGCATGTAATGTCTCTTTTATCTGACAGCATTTAACAAACAAAACTATAGGTATTGCAGCATAGAAGGGGACTAAACCAGTCAAAGAATATTAACTTTTGCACTGCAGCTTAATGCAGAATTTAAATCAGTTGAAGATTGAATGTTTTTTTTTTCTGTGTTCTGATTATTCATTATTAATTCATTTCTATAGACATCTATGGGATTCACTACTAATGGAAATCCGTACAATACTTATAGCGGCCCTGTAGAACGGATAATGGATAACAGATATGCTGGTCGAGGAAATCCAAATTCTGATTACTTTTTCCAGTGAGTATTTTTTTTTTTTTTTTTTCATACATTTTATTGTATGTATCAAATTTGATAACTAATGTCTGTGAAATAATGCTGATCATTGTGTGGGTTTTTATAATATTTTCTTTTAATTCATTGTTATAAAAATTTGTGCTTCGTTGT